GCCCTAAAGGTAAAAACTCTCCAAAAAAAAAAAAAAAATTAAAGGCAGATGAGATCATGCAGAAGACAGAATCTCAGATGTAGAAGATAGAACCTCTGACCTAGAAAAATTCGCCAAAAAAACTAAGAAAATAATCCAGAAAAATGAGAATAATATATGAGTAATACTAGAAACTATTAGACACCCAAACATCTGGATAATCGGTATCCCAGAAGGTAAACATAATCTATGATCAGGGCATTGATAATCTATTCCATGAAATCCTGGAAGAAAACTTTCCAAACCTAGAGAGGCATTCAAAGATCCAGACCCAAGATCACCGGGTGCGTGTGCGTGCGTGCCCAAGATCCTGAGAGGAGAATGGAGGAGAAGGGGATTGCAGCATGGCCATCCCCCGTGGGGAGTGATTTCTCACTTTCTGTCTCTCTGTCTCTTTCTGGTGAGAACACGCGCCCTTATAGCCAAAAAAAAAAAAAAAAACTTATTGCCAAAAAAAAAAAAAAAAAAATCTCCAAAATAAATAAATAAAGTGATAAAAAGAGAAAGCAAGCAAAAGGTCTAGGACTCACCATGGTTGGTCATGCGGGGGCCCAACGCCTTAACAACCATGCCAACTACTGGCCCCTATTTTTCTTTCTTTTTTAAAATTTGAATTTGCAAGCGAGTACATTCACTCACTAGAGAGAGACATACACAAAGAGAAAGAAGGAAAGACAGCACCAACTCCATGAAATGGTTATGCCACAATCCCCTGTGCAACATCTTTTCCACTTATCAGGATTTTGGACAACAAACTCCTATTGTACTTTCCAAGTCATCTAATCTGGGACTCAAGTCACAATGTGGGTCATGTGGAATTTAGCCACATTAACCAACATGCCATGGACTGGTTTTGTACCTCAATTTTTATTTCTCTTTTTGCACACTTATTTGGTTTTGAAATTCCTTGACAAAAAGTAAGTATCTTTTTTCTTGGCATGTTCTAACCTGAACATAAATATTTACTTTTACTAGTGATGAAAATCAAATGATTTCTACTATTACAATGTTTGGAACTACATAGTATTTATAGAAAAACTCAAGCCATAATTACTTCTTATATATTGGAAAAATGGAAGCACGATTTCTTATAACTTCCCATATTTCATATTGGATAATGCCACATTATATTTTGATAACTGCCTGATAGTATATTTTGTATAACAGCAAATTTTGAGATGCCCAAATGTGAAATTTCTTAGAATGTTGAGTCTTCAATCTTTAAGCTGTTTTTTTCTTCCTGCAATTTATTTCAAAGTGTGGTATTCTGATAGTAATCAATTCTTTGTACTTAATTGCACAGATTGTTTGACCGTTGAAAAAGTTATAAAATATTTTCTTTATAGTTTATCTGTAATTATTTTGTGCTTATTATCTGGGAATAAAAGTGAGATTCAGGGACTAGCAGTGGGGTAATGGTTATGTCACTGGACTCCCATGTAGTCGACTGTGGTTCGAGTCCCAGAACCAGTGGCTTAAAATCACACCAGGTGCGTGTGCATGCATGTCCAAGATCCCAAGAGGAGAACGGAGAAGAAGGGATTGCAGTGTGGCCATCTCCCCTGGGGGTGATTTCTCACTTTCTGTCTCTGTCTTTCTGGTGAACGCACATGTGCTATAGCAAAAACCTCTTAAAAAAAAAAAAGATTCGAAGTTTTTTCTCTCTCTCTCTTTTTTTATGGCTGTGTCGCTGACCTCCCGTGTAGCCGACTGCCGTTCTAGTCCTGGACCCTGTGGCTTAAACGCACGCCGGGCATGTGTGTGTGCATGCCCAAGATCCCGAGAGGAAAATGGAGGAGAAGGGATTGCGGCGTGGCCACCACCCCTGGGGGGTGATTTCTCACTTTCTGTCTTTCTCTGTCTGTCTGGTGAGCACACACGCCCTATAGCAAAAACCTCTCCTCCGCCCCCCCCCAAAAGAAACAAAAAGGGACCACAGCAGGTGGTATGGTGATTAAGGTGTTGGACTCCCACATGACCGACCATGGTTCAAGTCCCAGACCTGGTGGCTTGCTTTCTCACTTTCCTTCTCTCTCTCTGGTCAAATTAAAATAAATGAATAAACAATTTTTAAATAAATAATTCTTTAAAAAAAGGCGATGGAAACGGGGGGGGGGGCACACCAGCAGATGGCTTAATGGTTATATTGCTAGACTCATACAGTTGATTGCAGTTTGAGTCCCAGGCCCAATGGCTTAAAAATCAAGTTGGGTGAGGATGTGTGTACACACAAGATCCCAAGAGGAGAATGGAGGAGAAGGGACTGCAGTGTAGCCATCCCCCTGGGGATGAATTCTCACTGTCTGTCTGTCTCTCAGGCGAGCACACATGCTCTATAGCAAAATCGCTCTTAAAAAAAAGAAAAATAAACAAAAATACAGGTCTATCCTCTGTTGTACAGTTGGTAGCAAAATGAACTAAAGTGGTAGAAGCCACGTGGTCAACTGTTGGTTCAGATCCTTGATCCAGTCCGCCTGAAATATGCTGGGCAAGTGCATATATGCTCCAAATCCTGATGTGCCAGAGGGCTAAGGAAAGGGAACTGCGGTATAACCAAACTGTGTTGAGCGTACCCTTTCCATGTGCATATGTACTAACAAACTCTTTTTATCATGACTAAAATGAAAACAACAACAAAACAAAACAAAAATATACTCCAGTGGTTGAAACTGGAACCATTTCAGCATACAACAAATAACCATGAATCCATACTGATACAAGGTCTTCACAACACTACCTCGCCTCGGCCAGCCAGCATCATAGGCACATGCATCCAACGTGTGCAGGGAAACCTCAGATGCAAATCTGGGACTATCCCATGTGGCTTCAGCATCACAGAGCTTTATATCACTGCTGTGCCACAGTGGCTGGTGCCCACTTTAAATGGGAGCTATGCATAGTGACTTTTTTCTAAGTGTACAGTATGTACAGAGGAAAAATAGTAACTTTACAGTGGACAACCTGACAAATAACTGCATCAACCAAGTGATCCATATCAACATCAACAGGGGTAAGTCTTGCTGACAGTGTATACTCCTGGAATGTGGTAAAAATAGCACTTCACCATTGTGGTATTCCTCTTGAAAACTCATAACACAAGTCTGACCATGAGAAAAATTCAAACAAACCCCAGTTGAAGGGATATTATAAAATATCTCATCAGTTAATGCTATCAAGAGTAAAGTAAGTCTAGGCCTGGCAGGTGGCATGGTGGTTAAGGGTGCTGGACTCCCACGTGGCCAAGCACAGTTTGAATCCTGGACCTGGCGGTTTGCTTTCTCAGTTTCTTTCTCATTATGTCCCTCTCTGGTCTAAATAAATAAAGTTAAAATAATTATTTTTTAAAAAATTAAATAAATAAAATAAAGCAAATCAGTAAAACTGTCACAATCAAGAAGAGCCTAAGGGCACATAATAAACTTTAGTGGGATCAGCAGATGGCATAATGGTTACATTGCTGGACTCCCACCTAGTCGACTGTGGTTCAAATCTTGGACCTAGCGGCTCAAACTCACTGGGCACGTGTGTGTGCGTGTCCAAGATCCCGAGGAAAGAATGGAGGAAAAGGGACTGCGACATGAGCATCCCCCCTCCACCGTGTGTGTGTGGGTGATTTCTTGCTTTCTGTCTCTCTGTGTCTTTCTGGCGAGTGCACGCACCCTATAGCAAGATTCTCTCCAAGGGGGGGGGGGACCTGTAGCAGCATAAACAAACTTTAACCCATAGCACAGCAATTAAGCCCTGCATATAAGTAGCTGGAACCCACATGGTTGACTACATTCTGACCCAGCCTAGTGGCTTGCACATGCCAGGCATGTGTGTAAGCATACCCCAAATCCTGAAAGGATGGAAAAATGGAGGGAAATGAATTACGGTGTGATCATGCCCTACTGAGAGGTGCTTTCTCTGTCTCCGGTGAGTGTGTGCTCCCTCTGGCACTAAAAATGAATATTTATTTAAACTCAACAAAAGAAAGAAAAAGATGGCAAGCTATCCAACATCCTGATCAGGCTTAAGTCTGGGTAACTATCTATTCTCTCTAGGGCTCCATGTAAAAGACTTGTCTTGACCCAACATCTGTGTGATGCGGCCCCCGATAAATCTCATTCTATTTATGCCATGAGAAGAAATGCTAGTAAGGCCAGGTACGCCAATGTTAGTCAGTAAATCCCCAATTTCCACCCTTGAGAGGGACAGCTACAAAAGCTTTGTGCCTGGTAAATGCCGTATCCTAACCTTCCACCTTTGTCTTCGCTCCTCACTGCCTGCTCCTTTCAGAAGTGAAAGCCCAGGCATTTAAAAAGCAGTCTGCTAAGGCACAGTCTAAAAATAATCACCAAGAGTACATGTGATAAGTCAGAACTAAGGATGTGAGGAAAAGAGGTTGAGGGGTGGGGTAGGGTTTGGAAGAGTGCTTCCCAAACCTTGTGTCACGACTGTGCCTGAGAAACAGCTACAGAACTTAAGATTCTGATGAAAAGGGGGCAACAGATGGCGTAGTGGTTATGTTGCCGGACTTCCACATGGCTGACTGTGGTCTGAGTTCTAGACTGGGTGGCATGACAAGCGTGTGTGTGCGTGTGCCCAAGATCCTGGGTGGAGAACAGAGAAGGGATTGCAGTGTGGCCATCCCTCTTTTTGGGGAGGGGGGGTGATTTCTCACTTTCCCTCTCAGTCTGTCTCCCTGGTTGAGCGCATGCACCCTAAGGCAAAAACCTCTTAAAAAAAGGAAAAAAGATTCTGATGAAAAGACGAACAGCTTTGCCCTCACAGAACTCAAATGAAAAAGAGAACTTATAGCCTTCTGTGTCACCTAGATTTGACCGTGCCATGCTGACACAGAGGGTCTGAGTTCGAAGGACACCCAGATACACATCTCTGGACAGGCCTGCAGATAGGACAGAAGATGCCAGACGTCAGGGCACTTACTTCCTGAGGATGATGACTGCCCGGCGCTCCTTGATGTCCTGAGGCCGTATACAGTGAGTGATTTCGTCAGCAGCATATCCACTGAAAAGAAACACAGGACATGTGACCATGAAGAAGTGACAGACAACCAACATTTCAGCAAGAATACAGCCCAGGTCTTATGGCTACCCTCTGCCTATTATCTGAGAGATGTAAGGATCCACATGGAAGGGAATACACAGTAAGTTCTAGGAAGCTTTTGACCAAAACCACTCAAGAAGCTTGCCATAAGGCAAAGGCTGAAGCAGGATTCTTCCCAGACAGTCCAGGAGCTCTTATTTCAGAGTCCTCAAGAGGATATACCTTTAGTGCCTCTGGAGACAACTGGAATGACTCGGGCCAGGCCTTGGTGACAAGGCGAAGACTTTGTCTCCTTGTCTACCTCCCTTTACCCCACCCTCTGCACACAGAGGAAGCCAAGGCAGTGCTGAAGTCATTGAGTCACCAGGAAAAACTAGGACTGCTATGTTCCAAAGGAGAATTAATCTACTTTAAAGAAAGCTTTTGAAAGCCTCTATTTGGAGGTTTCAAAAGTTTAAAAGACAACTGTGTTTGGGTATTTTAAGAATTTACAACGCATTCAAATACCTATTTTCAACAAGTTAAAAACATAATTTTTAAAACTGTTCATAATCCAAAGAACATGAGTAGATGACTATCCTCTTCTTAGCAACATCTATCCAACCTGAAACTCTGACAGCAAGCTCGGCATCTTGAGCCCCTCATATCCCCTCACTGAGGGCACCCAGGCAACACCCCCACCCCACGGTCCTCCACTGAGAGGTGGGAGCTCTACATAGCCACAGGCCCGATGGGAGCAGTGTGCCTCCCCAGCTTTTCCACCTGCTGAGGACTCCCGACTTCCCTGGGCCACCACCTTTCTCTCATGGCCACCGATGGGCTCCCTCTTTAGGAGCAGTCATACAGATAACACTAAAGTGTGTTAAGAACGTCACAGGCCTGGAAGGAACCCCTCAAAAGGGCCAAGCTAGCCTAACTACTGGCAAGAACTAGATGCAAGAGCCAGCAGGAGATACGCCAGACTGCTTCAGGCTCAGCCCCGAGAGAGAAGTACCTCTGAAGTAGAAATCTGATTTGAGGCCATGCTGGATAAAGAAATTTTTTGTTTAAGTAGATTTTTTTTTTTTTTTTTTTTTGGTCGTAGGGCACACACACTTGCTGGAGAGGGAGAGAGAAAGAAGGAAAAGGCAGCAGGTGGTGTAGCAGTTGAGGTGCTGGACTTCCATATGGCTGACTACGGTTCAAGTCCTGGACCTGGCAGCCCAAAACTCACAACAAATAGATAAATAAGCAGACGTTAAAATAAATAAATGTTTGAAAAAAATAAAAATTAAAAAAGAAGGGAAACCAGCAGTTGGCCTAATGGCTATGTCACTGGACTCCCATGTAGTCGACCACAGTTCGAGTCCCGGATCTGGTGGCTTAAACTCACACTGGGGGCGTGTGCACGCGTGCCCCAAGATCTTAAGAGGAGAATGGAGGAGGAGGGATTGCAGCATGGTCATCCCCCTTAGGGACTGATTTTGTGCTTTCTGTCCCTCTGTCTTTCTGGCAAGCGTACACACCCTAACAGCAAAAACCTCTTCAAAAAAAGAAGGTGAGAGAGAGGGAAATGAGAATAACCCCCAAGCAGGGAATGGCCATGCAGAAATCCCTTCTCCTCCATTTTCCTCTTGGAATTTTGGGCATGCATGAATACGCATGAGGTGTGTCTATGAGGCTGACAAATCTGGGACTTGAACCATGGAACTGGCCATATGGGATACAGGACCTTAACCACTGAACCACCTGCTGGCCCACTTTTTGTCTGTATTTGTAACAGAGCACCAGCATGTCAGAGACAAGGACAGTGTGTGTATGTGTGTGTGTACGAAAGAGAGAGCAAGAGAGAATGAATGAGAGGGTCTACATGGTCTGCTAACACTGTCATCCCCTTCCCAGTCTTCCAATGGACTGAAGGACTGGGAAGGGGATGACAGATGCACACACACACACCCAGCATATTCAGGCTGACTGGGCCAGGGATTCAAATCACAGTCGTCAGGTGGGATCCAGCTTCTCTTGAGCAGTGTATTACCACTATACTACAGAACTGGCTCAAAGAACCTTTATTTTACAGATTTGTTCCCCAAATTGCTCCTGGACCAGAGGGGTTTATTATTATTTTCATTTACTCATTCATTTATTTATTTTTAATTTTGACCAGAGAGAGAGCAAGTGAGCTGGCAAGAAAGTCACCAGGCCCAGGACTCAAACCATGGTTGGCCCTGTGGGAGTGTTCAGCTCCTTAACCATCACGCCACCTGCTGGTCTCCATGGACCAGAGTTTTTGAATCTTCTCTGTAAGCACTAGTCCCATAAAAGATTATAGTTTTTTTTTTTTAAATAATTATTTTTATCTATTTTATTGATCTTTATTCATTTATTTTAATTTAACCAGAGAGGGGCAGAGTGAGAGAGAGAGAAAGAGCAAGTGAGAAAGCAAGCCACCAGGTCCAAGACTCAAACCGTGGTTGGCCATGTTGGGAGTCCAGCGCCCTTAACCACCATGCCACCTGCCAGCCCCAAAGATTATAGTCTATTCACTGCCCATAGTCAAATAAATTTTGAGGATATTCATTAGCATTTGAAAAAGCTTTAGTATGTTAAAGAATCTAAGAATTATTACAAGAATAGTATCTGACTTTGTCTACCTGAGTACTGACCAAAGAATCTTTTTTGAGATAAACTGCCAATCCAAAGTGACAAGTGCTCTACAGGGCGCTGAAGAACCCTGGGATTAACCTGAGCTTTATGACCTGAGGTAATGCATGTTTTGGTTCCAGACATTAGTTTCTTTATCTATAATTAGAATTGCAGTAGCTCTTGGGTGGGTTTTTTTTTTTTTTTTAGATTTTGTTATATGATGTGCTCAATCTCTGGAGAGAGAAAGAGAAAAAGTGAGAACCACTCCCTTCTCCTTCATCTCCTTATGCAATCTGGGGAACACTCACACATGCACCCCATGTGCTTTTTAAGCTGCAAGATCCAGGACTCAAACTACACAATCACCCATGTGGGATTTAGTTGCCTTAACCACCATGCCACCATGGCCCCAGATGTTTGTTTTGTTATGCTCTGTAACTTATTCTTGTGTTGTTACCAAAGATTACAAGATTTTAAAAAGAGAGCACTCTTCCCTTTCAGGCAAAAATTAGTTACAGAACTGCTGTTGACATTCCTGGAAACAGGTAGGGCAAGGCCTACCTGCAGGGTGGCTGTGAGAAATATTAGACAATGCAGGATACCTAGCACTCCAACTACCATTTACTAAGTACTTTACACAAGCCAGAGGGCACCTTTGGGGCAAGCCAGATTCTAGGGTTAGGCACTGGCAGAAGAGACAAGATCTAGGCTCTCCTGCTGGGATCTGCTAGCAGTAGAGACATCTCAGGCCCCATTCCCCAGGCTAAGAGCTCTAGGTCTCCTCCCATGCTCATTATTCCACACTAGAAGAGTCAAGGCTGGAAGGAAGTCCCATCTATATACACAGGACTTCCCCCAAGAGCCAAGTTCAACTCCCCAAAGGTACATTTCTAATGCCGGAATCTCCAGTGCTGGCTACAGGCAATATTCCCTGCTGTTAACAAATGTTATCAATCTGTTGAACTTGGCTACAGGCATGACCAATCGCCCTGACTTCCCACCTCCAAAAAAACCCCAAAAAACAAAAAAACAAAAACACTTCTTAATGTAGTTCTGGAGCAAATCCAGATGTTTGTCAAAGCCCGACTGCCCCCGTGCTCCAGGCCCCCTCCCCCTAGAACAAACAGTAAGTCATGCCAGGTTCCTGCCACCAAGCCCAGGCCCATAGAAATGACCTTGGCACTGACCCCACCTAGAAAACTCATTAGCACTGGTCTTCCAGAACTCCCAGCAGCTGGGACACAGCCCACTGACCCTTCCTCAGAGTATCAAGTTTGCACAGGAGCTTTTAAGTTCTGACCAAGGGAAGTCCTCCTAGCCAAACATCAGCAGACAGTGTCCAGCAGAGCCCACAAGACCATTTTTTTTTTCTTTTTGAGAGAGGATTTTGCTATATGGCGCATGGGCTCGCCAGAGAAACAGAAAGCAAGAAATGATCCCCCAGGGGGGATGGCCACGCCGCAATTCCTTCTCGTTTTTCTCTCAGGATTCTGGGCACGCATGCACACGCATCTGGTGTGAGTTCTAAGTCACCAGGTCTGGGACTTGAACCATAGGCAACTATGTAGGAGTCCAACAACATAATCATTATGCCATCTGCTGGTCCCAAGAGCATTCTTTTCTGCAATCCCTCCTCCTCCTGGGATTTTGGGCATGCATGCACATGTGCCCAGCGTGATTTTCAAGTTACTGGGCCTGAGACTCGAACCAAGCAGTTGACCATGTGGGATCGAGCCTCTTTAACCTCCATGCCACCTTTTGGCTTTGGGATCCAGCCACTTTAATCACCATGCCACTGGCTAGCCCCACAAGAATATTCTTTACTGCTAAAGAATCTACCTGCTATAAGAGAAACTGTTTGAAAAGCCCAGTCTGCCAGCTTGAAACTTAGTATGCTCTGAGTCCAGCCCTACCCTTGGCACGAAGCAAAGTTCCAATGCCTCCTGCTCTCTTTTGTTTTCTCAGGGAAAGGAGAGGAGGAAATACCTTGTCCAGCCTGTGCCTGCTCTGTGCCTGGGCTGAGCTCTACTTCCCAAAGCAATGACTAGCTGCCTCAAGAACAAGGGTGCTCAAAAACAAGAGTGGCAAAATGCCCCTCTGTTTTTTTTTTTTTTTTTTTTTTTAACAGAGATTTTTGCTATAGGACACTTAAGCTCACCAGAGAGACAAAGAGAGAAAGCGAGAAATCACCCCCTGGCCATGCCACAATCCCTTCTTTATTCTCCTCTCAGGATTTTGGGCATGCATGCACATGTGCCTGGTGTGAGTTTCAACCCTCCGGGTCCAGGTCTCAAATGCTTGGCCATATGGAATGTGGAAGTCCAGCAACATAACCA